GGGAGGTGTATTAGAGAAAAAAAAGAATCACATCATTCTGTATTATTATAAAATGATTGACATTATAACTATGTTATCTCAATTTTAAATTTCATTTGAGAAACCATCTATCTAACTATTATGAAATAATGTGCAAAAAATATCAAACTTGAAAACTGCTGTGATTCAAACTCACCATTCATGTAACTGAAAACATGTAATTGCACATATTTAACTTTAAAATCTGAAGGAATTGCCAGAATTTACTTTCCATAATTGATAATGTACAAGAATTGTACGTTACCTTTTTAGAGAACTCCGCCCTCCAAAACGCAAGTGCATCATCCAAATTCAAGCCAACACCCTACTTACATTGTGGAGAAAAGAACAAAAGATAAGATAACAAAGAAGACCGGGGGGTAATTATAAGTAAACGGAATTAGAAGACTTCTCATTGATATTCTCCATCAGAATGAAAGTGAATCAAAATGTATTATTTTGACAATGCTACAAATAAGCACCGATATTCGAACCCAGCATAATCATATGACCATAATAAACCCGAGAATTGTGCCATTTTACAAACTATAGTCTTCACAAAGGCAGAGTTATAATTCTATTAAGACATTTATCAAGTAAAAATTACTGGACAAAAGCATCCATTTCAGATATCCAATTCTGAACGCTAAACTATACATTTGATAGCACACGTATTAAGAGTGACCTGAAATGTCGATAGGGGCAACCATGATGATCTCCAGCTCCGGGAGTAGATGAAATAATCTTTAGACAAGAATAGGGAGTATAATCCTGTAACATCAATCAAAAAATTTCTTATTGAAACTCGTCATATGCATGCATTATAATGACAAAGTTAGAAACACTGAAACTGTTTCAAAGCCTAGTTTCAAACTGGAAAATGGCAATAACACAAGTTATCAGCAACGGAAATATATTTGAAATGTCCCATAAATCAGTGGAAGAGTTTAAAACTTACAGTTCTCTTCCCTTCCTTTCCATAATTATGGCGTATGCTGTACGCATATTGTTTCTCAAACTTCTCCAAACCAACCTACAATAAGACCCTTACATTTGATTAATTATTAATGCAAAGAAAGCAGCCTAAAGAATACCTTCTCAAAGACTGTATACCAAGATGTCTAGAGAGATGGAATAAATTGAATAGACACAGGTATACAGATTCAGAACGATTTAAAAGTATTATGAAATAATGTGCAAAAAATATCAAACTTGAAAACTGCTGTGATTCAAACTCACCATTCATGTAACTGAAAACATGTAATTGCACATATTTAACTTTAAAATCTGAAGGAATTGCCAGAATTTACTTTCCATAATTGATAATGTACAAGAATTGTACGTTACCTTTTTAGAGAACTCCGCCCTCCAAAACGCAAGTGCATCATCCAAATTCAAGCCAACACCCTACTTACATTGTGGAGAAAAGAACAAAAGATAAGATAACAAAGAAGACCGGGGGGTAATTATAAGTAAACGGAATTAGAAGACTTCTCATTGATATTCTCCATCAGAATGAAAGTGAATCAAAATGTATTATTTTGACAATGCTACAAATAAGCACCGATATTCGAACCCAGCATAATCATATGACCATAATAAACCCGAGAATTGTGCCATTTTTACCCAAATGAACCGAGTCAAAGTGTGGAAGACTAACGCAAGGCCAATCCAAGCTTAAAGTATTGGCCTCCAAAAAAAAATTATATAGTATTGGAATTCTAGTAGTTGTTCGTGATAAATAGAGTTCTAATATTATTGAGGAAAATATTATTTATATCTTCTAAAGGCCTTAAATTTGTCTATTACTTTTATTAATTTTATAAAAGCCTCACATCAAAAGTTATTTAGGCTTAAGAATGTTAGACCGGCTTTGGACCGACATAAATTCGGACTCGGGGTATCATAAATTTATAGGTATAAAAAAAGCATAAATTTTAATTTTTCAACATAAGGTTATTTCCACTTATATCTCGTTAATTAACTTAAAACTAAAGAAAGTAACTTCAAGTCTTCAACTGTCAGGATAATTCGAGGCAATAATTTTCCCATCCCCAACGCATGTGAAATGTAAAGCCTCATTTAACACCTCAAACTTATTAACCATCTAGACTCTAGAGTATTTTTAATTATGCCCAGAAGGCAGCCAAAAGCAACCTTGAGAAAGAGGCCTAGTTGCATCCTCCCTCCATGCTTTAAATGATGATCCTCCCTCAGCTGCATAAAAAGTGGTAAACCAGGAGATGTGAGACAAAACTGACAAATAATATAAGGACTCTGAACAAGATAAAAGATAAGAAAGGAATTACAGATGAATCAAGGGGGAAGAAAAAAATGGGCATTATTTATTCCAATCTCAAACCTTATCAAATAGGTGACGCATGCACAAAGGAAATGAGCTCTTGGCAACTTGATCAATGTCCTTTAATGACATATCACCATATTCTCTTGACTGCAGAAATTTTAAATCAAAGTGACCATTGTCAATCCAACATCACATAAATGCCTAATACTAGAAATAAATAAATGAATATACTGCTTTGAATTACCTGAGAATAATCAGGACCCAGATAACTTGAGCATAGGGCTTCCACAATCTACATAGAATGCTAATCAACTTTTATAACAAAGAAAGGATCTATTGATATACAAAGAGCACACCACACTTACAGGAGTCAACCTATGTTTTTCTTGTTCTCTAATTGAAGATGTCCATTTTCTGCAACAATTAGATGAAACTCTAAGAATCTTAAATCCCAAAATTGCATTTAAAGAAATAAAATTGAGAGTTTATATGAGAAAATTTATTGAGATGACTTCAAATGACCAATGAAACCTGTTAGTAAGGATGAGTGTCTTTGACAGCTGACTGCGGAATAGTGTGGCTACAAGTGAAACAATCTAGAAAAGAGGCAAAATTGAAACACAATATTTACTGTAACAAATAATTTGAGTTCAAAGCAAGAATAAATAGAATGTAATTACACTTGTCAACCTGATTCATTGCAACATATGCATATCCTTGATTTATAAACACTTTCCGTCCAGCAACAAGCTCTGGAACTTCTTCAAATGGTACCTATATGGGAATGAAAGAAAAGATATACAGATGTTGTAAGTTGTAACCCAAAACCTGAGGGAGAATGTTAGATAACAATGACATATGATGTAACATGGAAAGTAAGAAGCATAAGAATGTCTAAAATTGCCACCCCATTCATTATTGAGAGCTTTCCCCCACAAGATTATTCGATCTTATCTATTGGATACAATAATTTGTTATGTTTTAGGAAAAGGTGACAAGAGAGATAAAAAATGCATTGAAAGAAGATATCCTCCAATACTCCACTCACATATAAACAACCTTTTGAAAATTACAAAAATGATACAAGTATTAACATATCACTACTTCCTTATACTTCCCATTAAACTGGTGCCCAGAAATCATTCATGCCTTGTGAGTGTATGACTGAGTTAGCATTTTTTTTTATCAGCAAATGTTAGTAATTAGAGAGTTATGTTAGCTAGGGAGATTTGAACCCACTCTCCTTATCACTATCCCTATGTTTGTATTGTAATAGAACAAATAGTTTCAGCTGGCATAACTAACTTTAGGAGTTAATTATCAGTCAGTTGCTTGTATAATACTACACCCTGTAACAGAAACTATGGCAATTCAATAAACCACATTCTTTCAAATCCTTTACTTTCTTTCTCTGTTTTTCCTCTGAATCCAGTATGGTTTCCAGAGCCCTAGATCTCTGATGGTCTCTAAAAAGTTTTCCACCACCTTCACCACACACACATACGAGCTCTTGAGAATCACAAAGAGACCCAAGGATAATTAATTACTATTTCCCAACAGTTTTTCTGATAGATTCAAACCTTTTTTAATTAATAAGTACTATCTTTTTTCTTTTTGTGAACAAGGAGGAATCAGTTGAGTTCAATATTTTTACTGAATAAGAGAACCAATTTTCTACAGAGAAGGATAAGAAATATTTAAAAACGTCAGAGTTAATATTTACAATAGAACTGCGGTTATGTTAATAATCCTGTCACCATGTGCATGGAAGAAATAAGTAAAAAATAAAACATACCTTGTAGAAGATAGCATCAGCTGCAAAAAAAAAGTAAAAGAAGAAAAGCAAAATATAGGCTCATTAGATTTGAAAAAGTAATCAAAATCGGGGAAATAAAACACCAAGAAAATTGAGGCACAAGTTTCAAAAGATTTTTTTTCTTTTTCATGTAGAATAGCAGTGCAAATATTCCACTTGAAAAACCCAAGATCTCTATTTTTTAATAAATTAACCCATGCAACTGATAGCTTAGTAGTGGATTTAGATACTAAACAAATACTAAAAAAAGCAGAAGGAAAGATGTGATTTAGCTCTTAGGTAGCAACAACTAGTTATATTCCTATTCATTTTCATTCAAAAAGATAATCTAGCAAGGTGCATGCAAATCATTTCCGCTGATCGATACCAATATGGTAATTGGTCATTGAAAAAAGAAAGCAATGTGCTCCTACCAGTGGGTGAAGGCTGACCCATAGAACGTGCAACTTGTCCCAATTTCTCTTTTATGCTCTGGAAAACAGAATTGTCATTTCTTTAGGTACTAAGGTATCAGAACTAAATTAGTTTTGCAAAAATCACCTTCTAAGAAACATTTAGATACAATAGTCAAAAGCAAATCAATTATAACAAATGACATGTGACTACCTCAAATTCCACATTGCTAACAGCCCTGTAAGGAAGGTCAAATTCATCCATGACTGCCCTCTGTGCACTCATAAGAAAAGTTTGTGATGAGTAAGAACCTAAATTGAAATACAAAAACAATATAGTATGGGCAGATTTTACCTGAGCTTCAGCATTCAGAAGACGAAAACGGTATCGAAAGAGTGCAGATTCCATAGAAAGAAACCATTTCCTCAGGTCCTCCCTGGGAAAACAGGCATTATGAATTTTAGTATATATGGAATAATTTAGAAACATAATTAGGTTTTCTTATGACTTTACTAATCCGAATTTTTTCCTTGCTTTGGTCCAGGCCAAGCATCATTCAGGATTAATGCATAAGTACAAAATCTGATCAATGCATGTAATTGGTGTCACTGGTCTTAAACTCTCAATATCATCATTACCAAATTATTCAATTTTAGTAATCTTCCATTTATTTTGATCAGGCTTTATTTGTCAAACAACTGAGGACTCTTTTCAAAGGCAAGGAACAACAGTAAAATAGTAAGGCATAAGAGAGAGAGAGAGAGAGAGGGAGAGCTCTTACGTTCTGCAATACACCAAACGCAGAACAAAATGAGATATAATATCCTTGTTTAGAACCTCAGATGCGTGTTGGTGTCTCATATTCACTTTCCACAGATCCTTTACCTGTACAAAAAAGGTTCACATAGAAACAACCCATCAAGCAGTGAAAAACTAACAAATCAACATCATCAGATCCAGCATTTTACCAAATTTTCCATTTCGTCAGGTTTCTTTCCCCGTGACAAACCATCAGAAATCCCCTTGAGAACTGCAACAAAAAATTAATATCCATAAAAAACGAACTACAAAACTTGAAAAATGCGAAGAAACGCATGCAAACACACACAATTTCGCGACTAATACATTATAAAAACGCAAATCACTAGCAGATTTCAGGCTTCACTTGAATAATACACTCGTTTCTTGAATCCAACATATATACAGGGAGCAGCGGACAAGCATAGAAGATTATCCAAAACCCTAAGCACGAAGACAGAGGGAATATGAAGCAGATCTCTTGAATTGGAAGAAGCAGAAGACAATGAAAGCATAAAGACGAAGAAATTGGACCTCGGAGGCGGTCGATGGCGAAGGACTCGAAATCCTCAAGCCTGACTTCGAGCGCCGGGGCGGAGCGATAGAGGGGAATGGTGGGAACCGAAACGGCGTCGTTGGAGGAGGACAAGAAGTTACTGCGATTCTGAGAACGAAAAATTTCCATAGTTTTCTTTCTTCTCTCAGCGACAGTCACAAGCGGCGAGGGTGTCGAGTGAGCGTTGGAATTGCTTCACGGTTCCGAATCCGCCCCAAATAATTTGATCCTAGACCAAAATTGGCGGGAAACGTTTTTTCTAGGCTAATTTGCTAGTTTTTAAATTAAAATATATATACATAAATTATATTGAAATTTGTTAAAGAATACCTTTTTTTACTTTTAACTCTTAATTACTGAATATTTTAGGTATTTTACATTCGAACAGCTTTCTTTTTAGGTGTTTTTTTTTTTGACAGAAGTGATTTTATAGATTTTTATAATTTCTTAACTAATTTAATTTTTTATTTATAATTAAATTTTAATATTTTAAAATAAATTATCAATATCTAAAAATAATCTTATATTGTAATATAAAATATTTATCTTAAATTCAAAATATAATTTATAAAATTGAAAATATTTATTTATACAAATTTAAATATAATATTTATTGGTATATATTTGTTATAGGTAATAGTTACATATAATAAATATTTAGACTAAAATACTAGTAATATAAGTAAAAGAATATAAATAAATTAATCATTAATCAAATTTTCTCCAACATATTCTCACTCTCACAAAAATCTTAACCATTAATCAAATTTTCTCTTTTTCTCAATAATATGTTGCAATTATTACTTGAGGGTTCAAGGTTTACCGGATGGTGCTAGATGAGAGATGCTATTGCTTCTTAAAGAAGTGGTCGACACTTCCTCCGAAAGCATAAAAAATTAACGTCTGTTAACTTATACACTTTGAAATAATTATTTATATTTAACTTGTTAACTGATACACTCGTCCAAAGATGTTTCGAAGTCTTAGTTTTAGAGATGTATCATTTTTCATAAATATTTAGCCAAAGAGAATTTGAATCTCAAAGATTATTTAAATTATAAGTTGAATGAAGTATATTAGAAGTTGAAACTGTGCTTGGGGAAACTGTGAACCTTATATTATTTTAATAATTGATTTATTGTTATAATTAATTATAATTAGAATATTAAAAGTTGATTTTGAGATATTTTTTGCATTTAGATATAATAATAAAAAAATCAGCTTAATTTTATCTATTGTAGGAGAAAAAAATTGGTTGAAAAATAATAATAAATTTTAAATATTAAAAAAAAAACTTATTTTTTAGGAAAAAAAATTGTTTACAAATTTAAACTGATATTATAATCATCTAATTTTATTTTGTTTTTTTACAAACAATTTTTTTCTTTAAAAGACAAATAAAATGATGAGTAAAAATCCTTCTCACACATGCTCTAAATGAATAATTTATCTAATTATTTGATTATGAGACAATTGATTATAATTTTTTACTGATAAGAGAGTTGAGCTTCTGGTATGCATTTCGTAAAACAAATGTTTTTCACTGTAGGGCAATACCTTTATTTATCTACATCACAATTTATAAAAATAATGCAAAAAATAAAAAATAATAAAAATCACAACATATATAAAAACTTATACTTACATGTATATTTTTTTGTCCTATAACAAATATTTTTAAACTTAGTAAATTATAGACTAATCTCATTCATAATACTGCGACTACTACTAATCTGGTGAGTTTTCACACAATAAAAATTAAATAAGAGTTTTTTATTAAATAGATCATTCATATACTATGTGAGCTGTAAACACATGATCATTATGTGGATCAATCAAGTTATCCTTTTATATATATAATAACAATAACAAATAAATGATGATACTTATTCTTTAATCTTTTTTCAGTGTTGGATTTTCACTTGTTAATATATGAAAAGAAATACATATAAAAGAGGTGGATCTTTTAAATTAATTTTTTTACTTGGAAGGATTTGTGTCTCTCTGACACTAAGTTAGATGATACTTGGGACAATAAAGAAAAAACTATCTGATCTCACTGCTAGAGTAAAAAAATAACATGACACAATCACTAAGCTTAAATTTAAACTATATCATTATGAATGAGTTGGGTTAATAAGGTATTCACATTAGAATCAAGTATGAATTGTATCTTGGAATGGCATAATTAAGATGAGTTAGAAATTTGTGCATGCGGAGCATTTCTTTGCTCTCGCAGCCACACCCAGCATTTCTTTTGTTGTTGAGTTCTCATGTCATGTGCTGCTGATGAACCTGTGGAACTTGTAAAGAGAATATACTAAAATGACTTCAAAGTCAGACACCGTTGCTTCGAGCCCAAAGCTTTGATAGTGTTTTATGTTCAAATTTATGAATAGAACATCTGAAACTCTCACCCTCACTGCAGCAGTTCACCCATCATATTTTTTCTTTGTAATTAAAGAAATTATTTTTGGTTACATTTAACTAATGTAACATTGCATCTAGCAATTTGATACTCCAATTCAGAGTATTAAACAAATGTAATATAAATTTATTTCCTAATTAATTTGAATTGTATGTATTTTTAAGTAATACCATGTGAAAAATACTTATAAACTTCGATTGTTTGAAATTTTTGCTACTTTTAATTACTTTGTTAGAAAATTTATTATTCTCTCTAATAAAATAATCCTAGATTAATCTATGTTGATATTACTCGCATAAATAAGATTATGCTATATTTTCAGTGAAACAAAAAAAAAAGAATAAATACTATTTAAACTTTCTTTTTATTAGAAATTTTAAGAGAAAAAATAAAATGATAATAAAATTTATTAAAATAAAAATAGTACTGAATGAATATCATATTGTTGTATTTTTTAGATGGTATGTAATAAATAGTCATTTTTTTATCATAAATTAATAATTTTTTGACTGCTATTTTTTAATTTAGAAAAAGTTAATTATAAAAATTAAAAAGAAAACGGAAAGGCTGAAAATATTAAAACTCGACAAAGATATAATTGAATAAAACACACTATTAATAAAAAATAAAATGAAAAATTGGAAGAATATATATTGTTTTTAAAAAAGAAGTCATGCAAATTACAAAAAAAGGAACTTTTGCAAAACATCTAAATATAGACAGAAATAAATGACTGCCCCCAGAAATTGAATTTAAACTTTTCTGTCAAGGCTGGTGAATTTAATCAACCGAGGGAACGTTGAGCCTATAGTGGACATTAATTATTAATTAATAATTTTGAATTGCCGACCTATAACATTCTTTTTCAGTTCAAGACTTGAATGATTTAAAATTGTCATAATACAGAAAGTAAGATCTAAGTTTATTTGTTATGACCTTCTCCACCATTCGTGGTTCCCTACCAACTTTATTCCAACCGTTTTTCGTTACCTTCATTTGCAGGCCCACATTCACCTTGTCTTACTGTTACCTTATCTCAAATTTAATTACTAGTAATTGCTTTCACATGATATACCTCTGAATTGTAACGTGTCAGTTTCATTTGGCACCACTTTGGAAGAGCTACCAATTAGACACAACAGTGTTTGTGATTTGGAACAATGTCTGCTGCTGTGTCTGCTACCAAGGATGTTCCCTTCAATTTGGAGGAAGAGCTCAAAAACAAAGGAACCAACAAGGTTGTTGGGGAAACAAACCAAGTTTCTTACAATGATGATGCTGAAGGGACTGAGTCAGAGGGAGAGGAAGACCCCAAGTTGGAATTGTTGGATCTTGGCCCTCAGTTTTCCCTAAAGGAACAGCTTGAGAAAGATAAGGTAACATTGTTTGTTTGTTTATGTTTCCAATTGTTATTTGGTGAAAGCTGTTCAATAATTTGGCAAATTTTCTTTTGCATTTCAAAGGATGATGAAAGTTTGAGAAAATGGAAGGAACAACTTCTGGGAGGTATTGATGTGTCTGCTGTTGGAGGTACTTCTCTTTCATTTTTTCATCTGGAACAACTCTATAAATGACTTTCTATTTGGAGATGACGTGACATTAGTTTTTCATCTGTGTTGAAAACTCTTGTTCAAGATTCTCCTCTTCCTCCAATTTAATTTCTTTGTTCATATAAAGCAGTGCTCTGCTGTTTTTCATTTACAAGATAACCCTCTTCCTCTCCCTTGAATCACCTTATTTTGGAGATGACAATTTTTGATGAAAAATGCTGGTCCCTGATAAACAAAAGCCTAGGATGGTTTTACCTATTGTTTTAACATATTAAGTTTCTTTAATAATATTGTGAGTCATGAAAAATCTTCGAGTTTAATGGTCATGTATTATTAATATAAAAAGTTTTACATTGTCAAAACAATCAGAAATTATCATTGGTGTGATTTTTAAGATAATTGTTGTAAGATAATTATTGTAAAAATTAACAAATAAATCATATATGAAATTTTGTAATTGGATAAAAATGAAAAACTATTTTAAGTTGATAGTGATAGCCTGTTTTCTCATATCTAAATGGCAAAACCCTCTGTATTGTAATGCAGAGAACAAAGAGCCAGAAGTGAAGATAGTGAGCCTCACCATAATATGCCAAGGGAGGCCTGATCTCATTCTACCAATTCCATTTACTTCGGATGCTAAGAAGAGTATCTTCACCCTTAAGGAAGGAAGTCAATACCGCTTGAAATTCTCCTTCACTGTCTCCAACAACATTGTTTCTGGCCTCAAATACACCAATGTTGTTTGGAAAACTGGGGTAAGAGGTGAGACATTACACATAGACCCCCTTTTGATTTTAGTTAGATTAATTAAACACACATATCTTGAATTGTCTTAATTATATGAGGCTTTCATGAATTTATTGAAATAGTGGACAACACAAAGATAATGTTGGGAACTTTTAGCCCAAGGCAGGAACCATATACATATGAATTGGAAGAAGAAACTACCCCTTCAGGGTTGTTTGCTAGGGGAACGTATTCAGCTAGAACCAAGGTAAGAAAATTAAATTAAATTACATCATATAATGTTCATTCACTTTCTGGTTTTTTAACTAGGAAGAACTAACTAAATTCTTTTTTGTTTCAGTTTGTAGATGATGATCGCAAATGCTACTTGGATACTAGTTACCACTTTGATATTCAGAAGAGTTGGCCTACACCCATCTAAGATTGAATCTGAAGTAACTTATTGGTGGATTTTCTTTCTTCCTTTGTCATGTTGTATCTTTCTGGGACAGATTGAAATCCAACTTTTTGTTTATTAAATCCAGATAGAGCAATTGTGCACATGCATGCTACATGATTGATGGTGCTAATTCTCCCCTTCTATTCTATGGTTCCTTTTTTTCATCCTAATGACTAGAATTCTCATAAAAGGAAACACTCGTGAAAATCTCACTCATTCCACGTAAGATCCCTCGAAGGGTTAATTGTTATTATCTGTTGAGAGTGTGAGGTGTGAAGAAATTGGGGTGGAAATGGACCCCATGTGGATAAAGGGACAGAAATCAACAAATATCCTCAACTACTGCTTGTGCTTTCTGAAGCAAATTGCCAAAAGGTCCATCAATTCGTTGATGGTCCAGAAACTTTTGTCATATGAGGACCACATGGTCTTGCTTATGGTTGAAATCAGAAAAACAGAAAAAGAAGGGAAAGTAAAATTACCACTCAAATAATTTATCATTAAGATTGAACTCATGGATCAAAATTCTATTTACCCTATATAATTATAGTATTAGTATAAAATACTTACGATGTAAAACAGTGATTAGAATTTATAATATTTTGAAAGTGACTTTGGGATTAAGTTTGATATTCGAAGTTCTTTTGCGCAAGTTATGTATGATTTTTGTATTACTCTTAACAGTGTTCTTTAATTAAGTATCACGGTTTGATTTTTGTTTTCACATTAAGTTACAATCGGATATATTTTTTTTACTTTTAAAATGAATCCACTCAGTTGGTGCTTCTATATTAAAAAAAATTAATGTTCTTTATATAACAATTTATACATTACTTTCTTATTTTCCTGTCATGTTATTAATTACCTTTTATTTTATTTTTATATAATTTATTATATAAATAACACATTTGATTTTAAAATTTAGTTTTCAACGAAGTAATTGCCAACTCAAGTCTTTCGTATATCTGATACTTGAGTTGTTTCGGTGTCAAGTTACCGTTTTAAACTTTTAATATTTTATTTTCCACCAACTCCAATTCTAGAAATCGAATTCTGCACGCATTTGCCAGCATGGCTTATTGTGTTTGATTGGAGTGGATATTTTTCAATTTTATTGCATTTGGTTCAAAAAATTAGAGTTAAAGAAAGGGGAAATAAATAAATAAGAGACTATCTCTTTATTTTTGTTTCCTATCTAACATTAGAAATTTGAAGAAGAAAAAAGTAATTTACAACTTTTGAACTATACAGATTAATAAATTTACCTCTGATATATTTTATAATTTTTTTATAATGATAGATCAATATACTATTTTTATTTTTCCTTCCGTTTTCTCTTGTGTTAATCAAAGAAAATATACTTCGACTCCTCTTTGCGTGAATCAAACCAAACAAAGCAACCTCTTTTTTCTCTTTGGAATAAAAGTATTGTTAAAGTTTCTTTAGACAGTGACTTAAATTAAAACAAAATACTGAACCCAAGAAGCCAAGAACCAGGATTGAACGATCAACTTTCATCTCCTAATCTTTAGCAGTTACTACTATTAGTTTTCACTTTTCTCTTCTGTTGTGGCCAATTTATATCATGTCAATGGTCGTTATAGTTATTAGTTAAGAGCTTGATTAATAATAGAAAGAAAAAAATTGAAATTAGATTTTTTTCTAATTTCTTATTTATATTTTATTTTTTTGTCTTCTCTCTTTCTTTTCTTCTATCCAAATAAAAAAAATCTCAATGTTATGTTACACATGAGGTGGGGAGAAAGGTTTATTTATATGAGAGGAAAGAAATTTAAATTTAAAATTTAAAATTTTATCTCTTTACTCTCTTTCTTTCTTATGAAACATGCATGCAGAAGTTTATTCCCAAAGAGATCATGGAAGCTGAATTTATTTCAAGTTTTGAAGGCTCTTTCATATTTGTACTCTTAGCAAATTGGGGTTACCATTCGCTGTGCGTAAATTTGGGAAGAGTATCGCGTAATGTTAGATGTCTTAAATTTTTGTGACAATTTTTTTTACCACACATGATGTTTCAAAATTTGCCCTCAAATATGCAAGATGTTGAATTGTTGATATAGCTATTGTCACACCTTAATTTGGTCAAAAGAAAGAAGAAGAAAAAACTTAGTGAAAAATACCTGAATTGAGATATAAGTAAAACTAGGGATGGCAAAACGGGCCAGCCCGGGCCGTTTTGGCCCGGCCCGCCATTGGCCCGCCAAAAACGGGGCGGG